AAGGGATTTTATAAACATATAGATCCGAAAATTCTTATTTTTAAGAAAAATATTCGGAATTCATTACTCAACTTTCTTTGCTATTAATGCATCTCTTTTATTAAAAAAAAAAAAAAAAGAAAAAAATTATCTAAGATCTTCATCATTAGAAAAATAATAAATTGCAACAAAGTTTGATCATTTATTCCTATAACGATTTTTACAAAATCAAAATCAATTCTGGCAAGATATAAATCAAAAAAAGGAATTATCTCCATCTATCTATTTATCTATCTAGAATTCCAAAGTTCTCTTCTTGCCCCTCTCGTACGCGACTCGAAAGCGCAATTTGAATCGTCGTCAGAGCTCGAGAGCTTCGCCTCGATTGCCATTCAGATCGCATTCTCAGATTACGAAACCGCGGTGGCGGTTAGTCAAAAGTTTGGCCAAGACGAGGAGGAACGTTATCGAGTTTGTCGACGTAATAGAGACCGTTGCATATGTACTTATTTTCATTGTCGTTGCGATAAGATTTCCTGGCGCGAGCTGATATCGATATATCGGAAAAAAAAAAAAAAAAAAAGAGAAAGAGAAAAAAAGTGAATTTCAATTGTCGCTCCGTCTAACGAAGATTCCCCTTTCTTGGTTGAATTTCCTCGAATCGAGTCGAATCGAACGTTTTTCGTTTCCGATCTCTCGCTGGTCTCTCGTTATCGATGCTGCGACGACTGTGGAGGCTGAAAGTGGTGAGTAATAGAGCCACGGTATATTTAGCACGATCACGCGGATCCACGTGAGTTTCGATTTAGACGATTGTAGTCATTTATGATATCGATACAGATAGTCGTCGTCACGTATTTTATTAATTGAAAAGCAATGTGAAGACTTTTATTATTAGTGTTGTTCCAGTTTCACACCGGTGACAATGTCTGATTCGATAGGTTTATATTTTTGACTATGTGATATACGAATGAATGAACTCTATAGGAGTAAGAGATTATTGAAATATTGTTTAAAAAGTAGTAAATATATTTAAAAAGTTTATCAGGAAGAATAATAAATATTCTATGTAAAAAAAAAAAAAAAAAGAAAAAGAAAAAGAAAAAAATCAAAAATATAAAATAGAATTTTTTTCATTTTGAAAAAAAAGATAATAATATTACATAAGAATTTATAGAAAATATATAATAAAATTTATTCAATCTTGCAATTACTTTAAAAGGAAAAGTTAATTAAAAATGAATAAATAAATAATTCGAAAAAGTAAAATAAGAACTGCCTATATTTAACACATTTTTCGAAAACGAAGCCATAAATAAAAAAAAATTCTAATCTTCTTCATTTGCTTATTTTTTATCGTATCAATATCAAAATAGCCAATGTAAATGTGTCGAATCACTAATTACCGGTGCAAAATGAGTTAGTGTCTATTAATATAATTAAAAAAAAAAAAAAGACGATAATCGTACGATCATAATCAGATTCCTTTCTTCAAGCATCGAATTAATATATATTGATTAAGAAAAATTAACAATTCCGAGAGATGCGATCTGGCCGCATAGCTGATCAAGATCGAATCAAACAACGTGTTTCTAAAATATTTGATGAATTGTTTGAACGGTGAGATGATTAGAAAAAAATTTGGAACAAAACACGTTATTAGTTGATCATGATAATGAATAGAAAAATTGATTGATTAATTTCGGCGGAGCCTGAACCGCTTTCGAAACGTCGCAATTTTTTTTTACATTCACGAACTGTTTAATATTGTTGAGATGTGTACACGTTAAAGGTGCAAAATAAAATTCATCATAAATCCCGTTTTCCACAATCGATGTGCCATTGCCACATAGTGTTTGGATATTGAGAACATTTTGAGAGATTTTAGAAATATTTCTGTAATATACATTAATATATATTTCAAATATATTAATATTATATATATTTAATAAATATATAATTTAAATATTTAATACGATTTATATTTATATTACTTCTTTTGACGGAATTTTAAACGAAATTATTCAAAAACAACAGGTAATAGTTAGAACAGGAAATTTTATTTAAGAGGTACAATAAAGATAAGATAATTATTAATAGAATATTTACGTTGATAAAGAAAAATTCGAGGCCAAAGATATAAACGAATTAGTAAAATTGTAAATAAATTTTGCTTATATTAGAATAAAATAATTTAAAAAATTTTTTCATTTATCAAATTTTGTTATGTTAATTGAAATAATTGTAATTTGTATTAATCAAATAATGGAATATCTAAAATAAAAAAAATAAATGTTCTCAATAATTCAATATTTTATTATGTTTAGACAAATATCTATCAATCTTATCAATCATCATATCGATCAACTTTGATTAGACAAAAATAAATAATATAGAAAAGAAAAATATTAAAGATAATGCCATAATTTATTTGAAGTCAATTATTTGCAATTTTAATATAAATTCATATTAATTAAATAATTTATATTATATAAAGTAGAGATGATAAAATTTTTTATATAACTCTGCATTCTATTATAATTAGAAAAAAATAATATTCATAATAAAATCGAAAACAATTACATGTTACTCAATTCAAATTTATAAGTTCGATATATGTATATATTTAATTTTTTAACCTTGAACATGTCTAATCGAAATATACTGCATTGAAACTTTCTAGATATTCCGATAGAGGGCTACGAATAATTTTCAAATATTCTTTACTTTTTTCATTCTAAATTTCTACAATAAAGAATTCGACTTGAATTAATATAAAATTTTTAAAATATAAATTTATTACTTTAGAGCTATAATAAATAGAATTATTATACACAATGAATTTTATATTTTCCATTTCCATTTCTTTTACCTCTCTCAATTATCGTATTTAACGTCATAACATACATTTGAGACACCTAGTGGCCGGCAATCGGAAACAAAACACGTCAAAGCCGCAAAATTCGCTATCGCAGCGACAGTGAGAGAGAAGTACGGTGATACGAAGCGAACAATGCGAAATTATGCAGAAGAGGGCGAGGATCATGCAAGAAACGGCCGCGAGGCGCGTGCATAGCGAGAAATAATCGTGGACAAGGATCGGACGTTACGTTAAAATGATTAGTGGCATTCAAATCGCGCTAAAGAATGCCATTGACGTGGTGAGTGATAACCCTGATAAGTTTCGTTGTTTATTGTAGACTTTATTCTCGCTTACGCGACTGCGTGTTCTTCATTTATTCGATCAAAAAAACATGTACGTTTTTGTTTCTTTTTTTTTTTTCCTTACAGAATATAGTAAATAACGCGAAAATATTTAAAGCACTATTCATTGATCGTGCTCGTATATATTTTTTACGCGTCATTTATGACGATTTTTCTTCGTTCAAATGTCACACACCATTACACGTGCCATTGTATTTATTTACGTCCTACCTATATCGATCTGTATGCCGTGCGTTTGGCCATCGTGGTCAATATGACACTGCCCGCTATTGCGAATTTTTTTCTTGTCATCTCGCGTGTGCGCACGGTCGATTTAAATGGCGCTCGTTTGGCGCCGATAAAAAAATACAAACAAACAGGGACATAGCGGTTTTCGGCTGGCCAACAGTGGCACGCGAAACTTATTCTTTTCGATTGGAGCGCGTATCGACATTGTCTAATGATTCTAACATGTGCGTTATATTTAGCATCTTATATAATTATTTCAAGTTACACCTGCGAACAGTCGATCGTATCTCATTAATATGTGCACATTTAATAATCTACCGTGTTTTGCACATTATTTATTTTTCTTCAAAGATGACTTGGATGACGTAATACGATCCCTCGTTGCCGTTTCGATTATCATCTGTATTCTTTCTTCTATATCACGATATTTATAGATTTTTATTATTCACAGATAGCACCGCCTGCCACGCCGCTGCAAGACTTCACCTATCACTGGAAACAGCTTATGAATTTTTATGTGAACCACTTGACGGATTGCAAGGTACCCATACAAACCACAGGCATACCACGACATTTGGATAGATTATTGGAGATTCTACTTGAAGAAGAGAAAAATGAAAATGAACCAGGACCATGTCTCGAATACCTGTTGCAGCACAAATTACTGGATTTGCTGGCTACATTGGCCAGTGCGGAAACTCCACCAGGGATGAGGACAGTTTGCCTGTCCTTCTTAAGAAAACTATTAGGAAGATCCAAGTATCCTTTGTTGCACCATACGTCTATTTATGGACCGGTGCAGCGATTGATCGTTCTTTGCAATGGAAACCCACCTTCGCCTATTGAAGTCGAAGAAGTCCAGTTCCTTCTCACGCTTTGCTTTTTAGTTTGCAAGTATCCTCACGTGACAAATATTATAAACGATGCTCCGAATATTCAGAGACAAAATACCACTACGAAGAAGAATATTGAAAGGATTGAAGTGGAGAAGGTTACTTATATACCAGCCAGAAAAAAGAATAATAACTTTAATCCACTATTCGAACCATTAGACACTCAAGCGGTCACACTAATAAATCCTAATTTGTTTAACTCGGAAAATGATAAGAGACGATCTATTGAATTTAATAGACCACACAATAAGGCTGGCACGACAAGGGGATCATCTAGTCAATCGAATGGATCGATATCTTCTAGAGAAACAGAGAATGCTTCGCAATCTTCGAGCCCGGTAATTCAGAAAGAGATTTGTGGTGAAAATTCGGGTATTATACAATCTTCTGAATCTCAAGATTACGATGTCTCGCAAAAAAATGAAGATGTAGCTTTAATAAACGAGATAGACACGCATTTACAGAATCTTCAAGATTTGCGATTAGATGGTGAATATGGGAATGTTTATGATGACTCTCATTGCTTAGATGGAGATCAGAGTTTGTTCAGATCCAAAACACCAGAGAAATCAAAATGCCTTCTATTAGATGCCTTGTTGAGCTATATAAATACCGCAGTAAGTAATAAATTATCATATTCTAATATTAATTTAGATTAAGTTCATTTAAAATTTGATAAATATTTAATACAAAGAAAAATCATATACAAAAAATATTGAAAAATATTTCAATCTAAAATTCTTCAAAATTTTTATTTTTTGTATAAAGAATTTCAAATGATTTTCAATTTCATTTGATTTTAATAAATGATATTATAAATGATAAATGATATTATAATTATATGATGCAATAGAAATATAATTTGTTTACAAGATTAAAAATAAAAAGATTTGTCTATTAAATTATATTAGTTTCTTATATTATATAAATATGTCTATATATCCTATTATCAAATTATTATTAGAAAATAAATTTATTATTTAAATATCCCTACTTTTAATTATGCAGTTTCAAACTAAACAAACTACAAAGTTTTCAAACATAAACGATTCACTCATCAGGACAATACAGTGAGGATAAGAGCCTGCGAGGGAATAATGGTTCTTTCATCCCTGGAGGATATATCGTTCGCTCAAATGGTAGCAAACAGCCATTTAACAACCTTGATACCGAATAGATTAGAGAACCTGTTCAACGCCATTCCAGCGCACGTTGATCCAACAGAAATCGATGGCGTGGACGTCACTTGGGGTTTAGACTCGCCAGCATGGACGAAGGAGAAAAAATTTTCTGGTTGCAGGCAGGTTGCTGCATTTTTCATGTGGTTTGATTACTGTAATCAGTTGATAAGGGAAGCACATCCGGATGTAGCTGACGCATTGGCGAAGAGCATTAGAGTAAATTTCTTAGAGAAAATCGTAACACCATCTTTGGCTGAACATCATGTTGTTCTTATTACTGCATTGGTTACTAAGTGTTTGAAGGAGTTAACGTCCACCGCTTTATGTACAGGTTTATACAACAATTTTATTCTATTACTTAAAATTTTTGAAAAAAAAAAAAAAAAGGATAAATAAAATGAGGAATAATAGAATCATTTCATTTTTTCTTTTGCAATTATTTGAAATATATCGATTATAAAATATTAATGTTAAATATAATATTAATATTTCTTTTTCTTTAGAAATAAGTTATTGGCTTATTGGTCAAGATAGAGGTCCAGAGATACCAAATGTATGGACATCACCTGTGCTACATAGGCTGATAGATAATTGTTTCACGGACAGCGATGATTTAACATTGGAAACGTTGAAGCTGTTTGAGGAAATGATAGAGAAACGAAACGAGCATATATTGCACTGTCTTGTATTAGTATATTTATCTACGCGTGGTTACTACGACAATACTGCAGCGGACAGTGCAATTGCATCATGGAGCGATGAGGAAGATGAAAGAGAGAGGGAGAAGAAGGGTTCGCTGGATCTTTCATATGAACAAAGTCATAGTCGAACATTAGCACCTAGTAATATTCATAGAATTGTAAATTGGTAAGCAGTTAATAAAAAATCTTAGAAACGAATGAACAAAAAAAAGAAAATAAGAAAAAATATTTTTATCACTCAAAAATGTAGAAAAAAAATTATTCAATTGAAGAATATTTATAACAAAAATGATTTTTGTAAAATTGTAAACTTCACGATTAAAATTCAACAATAGTCATATTTCTTATAAAATTCTCAATTTATATATTTTTAATACCTGACAAATAATGTATGACTTAATTAGAAATTATCAATAGATCATTTCAATAAATCATTGAATGTGATTATATTGGTAAAATTTTTTTTTCATTCGATTCATTGAATATAATAATATATACGCAAATGTATCATTGTAACGCGCAATTTTCAGTTCAATTTTGTTCTCTATTTTCAGTTTTCTGTCCCTGATTCCTCGTTATCTACAAACAGACACGGACGTAAATAATTATGAGCGATACATGGCTGATTTGGAAAGGCAGTATTCTACTGTGTTGACGGATTGCTCGTTAATGGCCTGGCCACTGGAAGCAATAACTGTGGACGATTCCGCGAGTTCTGATTCCAGACCGGAAGCGGATCATTGTTCCGTGAGATTCTATATGGGCCCGTTCATGACGATGCTATTCGAAAAAGTAACGAATATTCCAAAGCAAAAATATGAGGTCAATTTGCAGTTGACTGTAGTGATCTCAAGACTGGCGCTTTTACCTCATCCGTACCTGCATGAATTTTTATTAAATCCATTACTACCGCTGGCACCCGGCACAAAGAACTTGTTCACTTGTTTGCAAAAAGTCGTCAAGCAGCTGGTGAACGAAGTACCAAAGACACCAGATCACAAACAAATGCTTAAAGAAACACGAGAACGATTGCTGGAAGATTGTTCTCACGAAGGGTAAGTACCGGAGAAAAAAATGAATTATTATTGTTGTTTGTTGTTTGATATTAAATAGTTTGTAATTTTAATTTTAGGGAAAAAGAAAATATCCTATTTGAAAGTGTGATCGTAACAGAAGAATTTTGCAAGGAACTGGCTGCGATAGCATATGTGAAATATCACCATTCTATGTGATAATTGATATCAAAAAAGAACAATGTAAATTATAGAATTTAATTATAGTATTATGGCCGAATAAATTTACTTAATGATCGATCGTCAGTTTAGATACGCTTAAATAGAAAATTGTTTTTTGTGATGATTTTGTAAGATATATACGTATACCTTAAGGATAGCGAATATTATAATAATGTTAATATTTACATATTCACTTATTTGCACAATTCGACTTGTGACTCTAATAAAGAAATTATTGAAAATTGGTATTTTAATTATTTTATTTGCATATTTTAATTATTAAAAATTGCATGCAAATAATATGTAAAATTTGCCAATCTAGTTTTTATTCTATTGATTTTATATCCTTCATGTTAATGTCTTGATTACTTTTTATATGACAATTATAAAAAATATTTAGATTAAAAATTTATATAGTTTACAAATACTTTTAATATTTAAAATAAACAATATTAGAAAGGGAAACCTATAAATTTCATAAATGAAACTAATTTTAAAATCATTTTATTACAGTAATTAAAGCTACTTTCACATTGGAGTAACTGACATATGGAGTTACAAATGGAAAACACATCAATTATTTGCATGGAATTACTTACAAATAATATAACTTCATATTTAAGTGGTAATTCTAACAAAAATATATCAATTGTTAAAATAAACAATGAAAATTTAGCAATAAATGGTGAATTATATTTTTTACTTAGCCTTAAAATATGGAGAAATGTATTGAAAGATACAGATAAGTGTGATGGAAAGTGTACAACAATTTTACAACATTTTTTACATATTAAAGATGGAAGCATAAATAATAATACTGATACAGATATTTCAAATCAGGTAAAATATAAAAGAAAATAAATAAATCACAATCAAGATAAACATAACCTATCTCTAAGAGTAAAAAATATTTGATGATACTGATTTTTTCAGGTTTTACAATTATTAATATCATCTAGCAATATTTGGTCTATAAAATTACAAAAATATCTTTTAGAAAAAGAACGAGTCTGTTTGTTTTTACAACGTACTCCCCTTATAGAAAATGCAATCAAAGCAGTTATAACAGCTAAACATAATTTTGGAAAAACTGTTTCAATTAATAAGATTTTTAGTTTAAAATCGCTTCAAGATAATGAATCAGAACTTACAACTAAAAGATTATATTTAATACAATGTGTCACTAAGAAGATTTTAAATCTACATGGGTTTAAAATAGCAGATGAAAATTCTGATTATAAATTTGTATTTACTTCTAAATCGCAAGGAAATGTAAAGGAAAATTATGAGCGATATATATGTGGTGTTGTGAAAAATATTGAAACAAATTGTAAAGAGATAAAATTAACATATCAAGAATATGTTAAGAATAAAATCAAAGAATTAAAAGCATCAAATGAACACAAATATTTTGAAGCACAAGAATACAATACAGAAACAGAAAATGATTTCTTTGAAGATCTTGCAAAAGCAACAAGTACATTTGAATTATTATCTGTAAAACCAAGTCGTCCTGTTTTTATTGGATGCAATTTTGCAACTAATAAAAGTACCACAAATACAAAAGGTTTTTTCAATTCAAAATTTTACATGAACTATGTAGAATTTTTGAAGAAACAATTTCTATCATTATTAGTTTTTAGGTGCATGTTTTATATTATATAATATAGCAAGAATAACAGCCATTATTGGAAAGTATAATCATAAAAGATTAAAAGGAGAATATCCTAATTTACCACATATGAATGATATAGATTTTTCGTTATTAAAACAAGAGGTATTTCATTTACAAAATATTAAATTATTATTATTTCCAATTGTTCAGAACAAATACATGCTAAATAAATAACTCTATATTTTATAGGAAGAATGGGAACTTATATATAATTTTATTATTGGATATCAGCAAATGTTAAAAGATTGTTTAAAATATGATCCTATATTCCAAGTAAATCCACAGGTTATTTGCATATTTTTGGCAAAATTATGTCAAAAATTTAGTATCTACTATCGTAGAATTCGAATTTTAACTGTGAGTTTTTTTTATTTGATTTATTTTTTTAATTAATATTTAATTAATATTTTAATTAATATTTATTTAATATTTAATTAATATTTATAATTAAATGATAAATTTTATTGCATGATAAATAATTTATTATATATAATTTTTTCATTATAGGAAGCATATGATCATTTGATTCCAACAATGAGTACAAGATTATATATGCTACATGCATTGCAAATTGTACTTCAAAATGCACTTGCTTTAATTGATATTATTCCTGTATCTCGCATGTAATTTTTTATATTATAAAATTACAAATTTTCTTATATTTATATAAATAGTAACATGATGTATGCAAGAAAGGAATGTAAAAAAGATAGATATAGAATAAAAAATTATATATTTAAAAAAAAAATAAGAATTGAGAAATTTATTAATATGCTAAAATATGAAAGATAAAAGATAAAAATAATTTAAATAATATAGATATAAAATAATAGATAAAAAATAGAATAATTTTAGAAAATTTTATATAAAATTTTATATAGTTTAATTTTTAATTTTATTTTATTTTTTCAATGTATAAAATGTTTAAAATGTATAAAAAATATACAGATATAATGAAATTTTAAACATTAATTATTTTACAAATTTTTTTATGAATTTATTATTTTCATATATTATATCTCATAATTTTTGTTTACTGTTGATAATTTAATAAATTAAGTATTTATTTTATACAGAATGTAATAAAAATAAATATTTTATTACATGAGTAACCTGAATAGATGTGATATAAATATATATACTTACATATATTTATAATCTAAAAATTTAATTAAATTTATTATTTATTTTTTTAATATTTACTAATAAAATCGATTATATTTAATTGCATATTTGCATACAAATATATTAATTTCAAAGATTTTGTATGAAAATAACATACAATTTTTTCTGTCACGTGCATAACAAATGAAAATAATTGTACTCGAAAATAATCAATAAAATGATAAATACCATTAAAATGAAGATATATGCAATTATATGAATACATTATTACAAATATTAATCCTCATTATTGAAATCAAATAAAATATATAGAAATTATAAATATTTTTTTACTTACTTATCAACTTCGTATAGAAATCGCATCTTTGAAGAAATTCTTCTAACCTTTGACAATAATCACAAAAATTTATTGATTTTATAGATATTAACAATATTTTATTTGTCTTTAACATACGTTTTTTATTAATATAATATACAAAATTATCAAAATTTATCAAATGTAAGTATAGATTCGTTATATTCAAACTCAATATCGAACACTACATAGATCTTGAGAGATTCAGAAGTACCAATTTGAAAAAGTATAGGTAATGGCAAATAGACTGCAAAAGATGGCGCGATTGTATGAATTTTCAAATACATATTTTTAAATTCTTAATATAAGAAAATATTAGATGATGTTTTAGATTTAATATTGAATTTAATTTGAATAATAATGTGTATATTACTTTTTTTACAAGGAAATTATAGATTAAAAAAAAAGAGAATGAATGCATTTCAAATGATTTAAAAATCAATCACATTGTTATAAACTGATTTTCGATACAATCGATAATTGATTAATTTTTACATATGTAATTTGTTAATTTTAGTATATTATTCATGGAAAAGAGACTATTTCTCTCTATTCCAAGAATATCATGCATCAAAAGCACACGCACGATAGCGTGCAAGAGAGCGAGGCAAGGAATACAGCCAGCTGTTTGTTTTGTTTTCGGGCATGAGATTCACGTGACACCACCGGTGCTGGTGGCGGCTCATACGGCAGCGCCGTATTATCAACGTTTATTGGCCGAGGTAGTGCACTCGCGCACCGCTTAGCCAATCAGGAACATCGTAAGAAACGACGCCTGGTGCTTCTACGGTGCAGAGACGTTTGACATCGATAAATGCGTGAGAGTGCTCGCGAAGTGCGGATCAGGCTGTCGCTCGCTCGTCGGCTTGTTGTAGTCGTCGTCGTCGTCGGGGGCTCGTGGGCTCGTCGTCGTCGGTCAGTTCGAGCCTCCTTTTCTTTGTCCTGACTAGACCCCCACTTTGTACCCGCGAAAACCTGTGCAATAGTAGTGTTAGGCAGTGCAGATCCACAGTGACCGTCTTTCTTTACGACGTCGCTCAGCTGCACCTACTTTCGTGTGTGAGCGAACGTATCCGGCGTGCCAAATGTCACTAGGTGGACGATAGGGTCGAAATATACTCGATCCTCGACGTCATACATACACATGCGTTTACTGTGCATGTATACAGCAAAGAGGTATCATTCACATCAAAATGTCAGAAATGAGCAATAATGTATATTGTCATATACGCGGTAACATTCGCGTGATCTTTAATGTTACTCCGTGTATTGCGTATCACTTCTCGCGCTGTATTCTCTATATATCGTGAATGTGTGTATGCACCACCGTGTTGCCGTTGTTTCTTGTATGGGAATCACATTTATTACCGATCACGTATACACATATTTTCATTCGCATTACATGCGTGTGTATGTTTGTGCGGTGTAATGTGCATGTGTATTAAAAGTCGCTTGCAATCCAGTCGAGAACGGAATCAAGGGAGCGCCTTTCTGTGTGCTCATCGTGAACAAAAAACCATACGAGTATTATTGTGATCGCTCGCGTATGATGCGAGTTTCTAGAAGATTTACGTGTATTTTGTGTGTGATAATATACGTTTTCTCTGACAAATAAATTGTGGTTTTATTAGTATACTACGTCACATCGGTTTCTATGTGTGTCTATCTGTTACCGCAAACTGCGTATTGCATGTTTGATGGAAATCATTGACCTCGCGAGCAGTTGACCGAGTTTTACGTTCGTAGATTAAGAAAAAGAATTATAGTTTTATTTAAACTGAAAATTTCCTTTTTGGAAAATTCAAAATTTTATGTTTTATTTTGAAATAGTTCTCTCTATTCCATTTGAATTCCATTTAAATCACTATAATAAAATTCGTCATATATATTCGAAATATCGCAACATCTAGATCCATTCTTTCAGCCATTTGGTATATGGTAAGATCTCGGTAAGATCTACGCGTTCAAGGTCACAAAACAAGTAGCCGGCACGTAAAGTGGTCGCATGCACATGCACGTTGTATACGATACGCGATACTCGTTTCCTGACCAAAAATAATAGTTCGTCGAGCGCGCACAAGTCGAACCGGCCGCTGATCGAGGTCAGGTTCTTTTGCATTCGTTTATTCGTTCATTCGCTTGCTCAGTTGCTCGCGTCTGCGATAAATTACCAGTGACACGCGTAATCTCGACCCTTTCGATTCGCCTAGTGACTGTACTATAGTGTTCTTTCCAATTGTACCGTTCGCGCTTACTTGCTCTCTTGCGCGCGCTGTTTTCTGTCTTTGTTGTGTATATATTCGTGAAATACGCTTTCGGTTCGCTCGCACGCGACTCCGTGTATGGAAGTGTGGAGCAGCGGTGCGTCGTATTTTCTTGTCTCACATATATTCTATCGGTTGTTGATTTTTTTATTTCACGTGATTTGGTGTGATCGTAGTGAATGTTGTGAAACGAAGGTGAAGAAAGAAGAGAACCGACGAAGATAAAAAGAGAAAGAAAAGAAAAGGACAATAACGTTACAGGAGTAAAGTGAAACGATATTGAGCGGGAAAAGCAAACATATAGAAAAGGAAAAAAGTAAACTGATGTGTGAGTAGAAGGGCAAGTGGAACTTGGAGTAAGATAAAGACAGACGCGAACGAGATAGATCGAAAATCATTGAACGGTAAAAACACGGCTACGAAAGGAAATTAATACTACGAAACAGTTGACGGGATATATCTAGTAGAAAAAAAAAGACGGTTCTTGATGCGTAACGCGGTTGGAAAGGCCTGACCATCGATTTGTCGTCCGTGAATCTAGTGCGCGTTTGAAATCGGGCTAGTCTCGCGCGCGCGTGTGTGTTACGTGCACCTAAGCGAACGCAGCCAGCGAGGCGCGCGGACGGACGAGAAAAGGAGGAAGAGGTGGCGGTGGTGGAAGAGAGGGCGGAGAAGGAGAGGCGGTTGAACAGGCGGGCGGAGAGAAAAGTTCGAGAAGCGGCAATACCAGTGCCAGCCAACATCAACAACATCACAACAACAATAATACAGATCGCCGCGGTGTATACAAGGCTGCTGCTCGTGGTGTGCGTTCTGAACGTTTATCGCGTTGTGTGTCGCCGCGCGCGACGGTGATCATCGGTGTGTGTACCGGGATTGCAGAGAAAGAGGTAGTGAACCGAAGCCGCCAGAATTACGCCAAACCGGGGAAATATGAGCATTGCTGCCCTATTACAGGCCGCCGAGTATATTGAACGAAGGGAAAGAGGTGAGTATTGCTTTGCTGCATGTATATTTACACATATGTGTGTTTTTTCCTTTCTCCTTCGATCTACGGGAAGTTTCATCGTGGTTGCGCCCGTATGCCTGTGTGTACCATGTCATTGGCACATGGCAACGAACGCGTGTACCGTCGTTGGATCTCGGAACGTGACCTTTGTTATTACGCCTATCCTCGCCTCGTTGCTCCTTCGTGTTTACAGTGTGTTTTCTCAGTATCATGATTTACAAGCTCTATTTTGAAGTATTAAAAATTTTTTATTGGTCTTTATTAATACGATGAGATATCAAGAGAATTTAAGAAAATTTAATATATATAATATACTTTCATATAAAATAATCAAATCATTTAATCTAATCCAAGTTTAATGCAAATTTAAATTTAACCATTAATTCATTGTAAAACACTGTTCGATTTTACAATTTGACTTTTTCTTTTTTAATTGATTTTTCAAATATTTCTTAATTCGATTGTTAATAGATAATAGCATAAATTTCCTGATACTGAATTTTTTTAAGTTATAACCAAGTCTAGATTTTTTTTTTTAACTCCGTAACGTAATCACGCGTTTTGGAACGCGTGACCTTCACCGGTATACACTCTGACGCAACGTGCAGCGTACTCTGTAGCCGTGTTGCACGTCCGTTTTTCGGCCAACCGGCGGTAAACACATCAGTAAATATATGCATACGTTGTTTTTTTGCGATGTACGATACACGAATGTCATTGTATCGTGTAGGTCACGTCTGCCGCGTATATAGGTATGCGTCAGAGTGCGCGGAGAAGCGGTAACGATGATCTCATTTTATCACTCCACTTATAATACCACTACGACGTAGTCGATACTGCGTTTGCTCGCGTATGCATGCAGAATTCCCGTGTTATCTCGTTTCTCCTCGTTTCTCTTGCATTTCGCTAACCTCCTAATAAATTTTATCCAGTATATGTATTAATTTCTTTTCTCAATTAAGATAAATGATCTAATTGATTTATTTATAAAAGAAAATGATTTATTTATAAATAATTTTAGATATATGAAATATAAATATTGATTAATTTACAATTAATTAAATTGATAAAGATCACGATAAAAAAAATATATTGTCGACGCATTTTCTAGAAGAATTCAACGATTCGTAATATTTTAATTGAGAGAACGTTATCAACACAGAATTATTAGGCTTATTTGCATAAATACATATATACATATCTCATTGTGACTACTCCATCGATGATTCACAATTTTATAAACAAGTCTCGACGAATATATTTTGTTAGATTACTCTTTTCTTTTACGCATTTCTTTTTCTCCATCACGTGATTCGGAAACATAACCGATACTAATAGTCATTGCTGCCAACATTATAAATCTGTTTTCGCCAGGGCGAAAGCCATGTGTGACGTAAATAACCAAAATACACAGATCACAATAAACGGCTGTCGTCTTGCATTTTTCCACGACGCCACGTTTCGCTTTCGAATAGTCGGTTGAGATTTACGGTGTCGTAATTCTTTCCTGTTTCTTTTAAGATCCGTAGTAGTATAGAGTGCGCGTCACGTACATACACATATACGTACATATATATCCAATAGAGTTGTGTACAGTCACGTTCACACACGTCGAGTGAACACCCTGAAAGAACGGCTTCTTTGTTTCTCTCCTCTCTTTTTCTCTTGTTGCCGTGCATTGATCTCTCGTGCTTTAAGCTCACATCACGCGAGCAAGAGAAGAACGTTTCATGTGCGCGGTCGTTCACGAGTAGCAACACCACTAGTCGAACCCAGAAAGAGCTTTTGGTTTATTGGCCGCGCTCTTGTCAAGCGAGAGAGAAGAACAAGGGGGAATCACAGCGGATCGTCGATTGAGCATTAACTATTATTGCTTGAGGGTACGTGAGATAAGTCTGTTACATTATTTTAATCGGTCTATTTGGCACGATTTCCCTGAAAAACGTTCATGAATGACAAGATCGACCAAGCTATTGTTATTATACTTTGAAATTAATTGATTGCACAAGACTATTTTCTTGACCGTGAAATATCTTCGAATGACATTTGTCGTTTTATTCACATTATGAGTTAAGTTGACATTTATTGAATGATTTCAAAATTTTGGAACGGAAATTTTATTATCATTTAAAAAATATTGTTTGTTAGTCATATGATTAGAATTATTAATTTTAAATGTATAATTAAATATATCATATAATTAAAATTAAAAATATTAAAAAAATGAAATAATGCATATATTTTTCTGTCTTAATGAAAGTCAATATAAACATTAGAATAAACATTGTTACATCCTTAATAAAAAAAAAAGTATCTGAAACTTATTTTTTTGTTTATTAATATTTATTTATGTTTGTGTACATTTTTACTTACTATGTTTTATGTTAAGAAAAATATAAAAAATATAACAAAAAAGTTTCAATTGAAATTATCATGATATTTAATTCTTAAATTAAGATTTCATGTTGTTTATTGAAATAAACATAAAGTCGCTTCATTTCAGCATAATACAGATTACATAAATTTCGTCTATGATGGGGATTCATTGCCTATTTGAGCGGTCAATTGATTTCGTAGTCTATATTCGCGGAAGCTAGAAGAGAGAACCAATCCATTCTTTCGAGATCTCGTTTTTGTCGAATATTCAAGCAGAGATAGAAGTTCAAAGCGATCATTAATCGGCTTTCGTGATTTCCGTGCGTAATTCAACGAGCATTAAACTAATGTCATGCCCGATATTAACAAATTTCGCGAGTATTACGTTCGGTTCGAATAAACAAATAATAAATTAAATTGTTGTCGCTTCAAAAGAGGGATTTTGCTCTTGTTTCAAGTGAAGTTCGCGCTGACTCGGTCCGTTGACGATTCCAGATACGCGTTTCCGATTCTTCTCTCGTTTCCATAAAAAGGAAAAGAAATGAGAGTCGAAAGGAGAAGGTATTATAGACAAAGAGAATGGTAGATGTCAGCGAGATGGAGAGAAATAAAGGGATTGAATTGAGTGGGGATAATAGCGTGAAGCGGGGAAGAGAGAAAGGAGTAGAAAGAGAAGGATAAACGGGTTAACAAACGAATAAGATAAAGATGGAGGAAAGCGTAGCAAAGTGTAAATTTTTATTTCAACGTCGCATCGATGATTTCTTTTTCTTCTTCGTATGCACGACTTCGTTTTTAGAACTATTGTTAGATTAGCTTCAACTCTAGTAAAAATTATATTTCTTTTGAAAAATATAATAGGATGCTTTAGAAAAGATTTTTCTATTTTTATGAGAAAAATAAGTTTTTTTTTATAATTTCATTGAAATTATTTTTATTTATTCATATTCTTCATTGAAATCAATCTACTTTTGTTAAATTTCGAATCTTAACATAATTAAAATTGAAAAAAATACATATAAATAAATTACATATTATATTTATTTGTTATACTTAGCATATAATTAAGTTATATTTAATATAATAATAATTCAAACTCGTTATATATTAAAGTTCTATTGTAAAATATATTTTAACTCATTACATATTAAGTTTATTAAGAAGAAACATTACGTTTATTAAGAAGAAACTAGAAAAATTAATTAATACAAATGTAGATAATAATCTTCATAATACTATAATACTAACTTACTACTTTAATTATAATATGTTATAATTTTTAAATAAAAATAGCAACTAAATTGTAATTAAAATTTATTATTTATATAACATTATTACTATTTTAAATCATTATATTACATCGTCTCTTTGAATGTTTTCTAAAATTGATCAATTGATATCAGAATAGCAGAATAAATTTAATAAATAATTATGTTTCGATAGATTTTCTGTCAATAACATTAGAAAAATTACACAGTCGAATATGATATAATAAATTTTTTGAAAATCTTCACAAGACAAAAATTTCATTTATTTTTTCCATTTCATTATGTAAATTTTTATAAATCATAATGTAAATTTTTTAAGTCTCTATTTGAATTAAAAGAAGCTTAACGAGTTGAAATTTATCTTTATGAATCGAATTATAATCATTGATGCTATTATAACTCGAAATTATGTTTACAATCTGTTAATAATAGATTACTTAATATTGTCTCTGTTTTACATTATTAAATTATATTAAATTACATTATATTAAAATTATATTAACTGTAACGGAAGCAAAAGATGATACTTGTAAATTTTTTTTTCAAATATCAAAATTGGTATGCAAAAATGTCGGTTTTATCTTATTTATTAAGTTATAAGCAGTCTAAGTTTGTGTTAGATAAAATAAGATGAGAACAGAGTGACAATAATAGAATAATATAACGATAGCTATTTTATTCTTTTGCTTTGTCTAATGCAAACTTCAATTGCAATAACATAATAAATAAAGTTTAATTGATATTTTTATGTAATAATTTAACTGTGTTTATTTTAGCCTCTAGAATCGATCTTCTAAAGATATATTAATATATTAATATGTGACATCTAAATATTATATTATATGGACTTAAACTCAGGGAAATCGAATTTGTAGAATTATAAGTTTTAAATATATATAAATGGACTCAGAGAAATATATTTGTTTGATGTATTTATTCTTGCGTGTTTGAATTGAATTATATATGTTATATATATGTAGAATTGAGGAAAATTTAGATTAAAACAAATATTGGAAAACAAATATAAGTAAATATTATTTGAAGATACAATTTTGTTTAATTTCTAAATTACGGACAAATATTACTTAATATTTATATTCGGATTCGACAATAAATGAAATATTTATTTTCCGTTTGATTGAAACGCTTTAAATGTAGGAGATGAATATATTGTATTTTTTATTTCTTGTTTGTTAAACATTGAAAATCTAATATTAGTAATTAGTAATTATAATATCCGACTGTTGAATAAAACAATAATTTGAAAAGAGTAGATTTTGGAACAGAATTTAATTTTTCGTTTATGTAGAAACATATTTATTCATGTTTTATAGCTATCTTGTATTTATATATACATGTTTTGACAGAGAAATATCAATATTGAAGAGAAAAATTATTATTTTCAGTTATTTTGCTCTTAAAATTTTTTGCAGAAAATCACTTATTTTTTCGCCCATATAACATTTTTAAATTATGATCTTAGTTATTTTTGACTTTACGATCTTGATATGACCTTGAAGTTCTTTTGACATCAAAATTTGATCACATTCCAAGACACATTAGGATAGTATGCAAGTTAAATGTTCATGTTATAAATGCTTAAAGCGATATCCATTGATAGCGGTATACTTTCTAAAACGATCAATCATAGATCGTGATGTCATGAAGAAATCTGCATGACTGATCTATTTATAAAATTCACGTTGGACGAAATAAGTTGATAGGTAAATACTATGCTCAATAGATGTCAATATGATGATTTAAATAATAAATTTATAAAATTTTATTTTATTAATAAAATATTCGAAGTGATAAAAGGAAAGTTTCAAAAATAAGCAATAATTTTACAAAGTTATCTGCATATATTGATATAATATTTTATATATAACATATAAAAAAGATTTTTCAAAAACAAGGTAATTGAATAGTTTAGGGTATTTATAGTTTGATTTTTTCCAATTTTAATAATATTGCGAAAGATTTTTTTTTATTAAAACTTTATACATATTATTATTAAAACAATAAATTAATCAGAAAATTTGAAAAAGTACAGGTAATTCACATAACATTATTGATACTTTTATGAATATAGTTTTTATTTTGTAATTTTATTCAAAATAAAAATTTTTGAATAACAAAATTTAGAATTAAAACTAAATTCTTTTTTTTAAAATGATATATAAAATTTATATTATTATTAAAAAAAAATATCATTTTTGAAATACAAGATCATTTTTAATTTATGTAATTTAAAGCTCGCGTCTTCTAATGATTTTTATAATGCAACATTTTTCTAGAATTTAAACTTGCTAAAATATAATATTTTTATTAATTTTTATGAAATAATTTATTGCAATCTAAAACAAATTTAATCCAAATCTAAATCTAATTTAATTTTTTTTTTTAATTTTGAATATTTAGAGAAAGAATATTTACCAAAAGTCTCCAAACCAAGCAAATCATATAAAATAGATCAACTCTAATTCTCTATCCCATCTATAAATCCAGCAACAACAATTATGATAATAATAAAAAAAAAAAAAATCATTCAAACTTAACGAAATAAACAAAAAAAATAAAATAAAATAAAATAAAATCAAATTTTCTCCTATTGTTCTAAAGTTCCTATACAAAACAACATTCTTAGTTTCGTTCGAATTTTGGAAACGAGTGGTTGCTCTCCTCTATGAATCGACAATCAAAACGAGTTTTATAAGGTCCCCTCCTTCCCCCCTCCCCCTCCCCCCTTCCCCTCCCCTTTTACGAACACACGTAACTTAGCTGTACTATTCATCAGGCGAATTTCTCTTTTGCATGAGACGGCCTTATGGTCATGGCATGCGAACGAGACGCTTTTCTTCTTTCACGAGGACAGATGGTCGATGCGTCGTGGCCGCTTGTTCTTTTTCACCGGTTGCTATTAAGCCCCGTGTTGCACGATGACGAGGATCGGAGAGGACAGATACCGGCAAAAGGTGGCATTTATAATTTACACCAGTCGTTATGGTGACTAGTACATCATTGGACGACATTTCGACGGGTTTTTGCCACCCCCGTGTCCTTAACTCGTCCTCGGCTCTGTTCGTCCACCTTACATAATATCAATCTCTCGTTCCGATGAGTGGACGCTTCAAGACCGTTCCAGGCCATCCTGTGCGCAATTTTCGTGATAAATTACAGCGCTCGCTATTTTTGCAACGTTGTTTTGTCGCGGCGCGCAGGAATTTCTAGAGGAGACCGAGGGGAATGTTGAATTATCGCGCATGGCCTCTCAGACTTCTCGACGGGATTTCACTTTTCTAAGCAAACAGCTTTTACATTCCTCGTGGATGGCGAGGTTTCTTTTCGATGGATTTCGGTGAAGCGATGGATATTCCGTGAGATTTTTCGGGATTTTGATGTGCTTGTGTCGCGAAGTGTAGATGTATCAATGAAATTTAGTTTCGTTCTTCTCGATACGGTAGATTGTGGATTTTCGAAGGATTTGAGAAATTTGATGGATTTTATTGCGTTTCCTGTGTTTATTTTCGGGTATTTTTTTTTTTTTTTATTTTTATTTTTACTTGAAAACTTCGTGAGAGAGGATAATATGAAATGATAATAGGGTAATATGAAATGATATATAAATAAAAAAAATAATTTTTTTTTTACTGTTTTAAATTGAAGAATATTTTTATTTTTTATAGTTATTTTGAAAAATATTCAGACAATCATAGACTTTATATGATAAATCGAAGAAAAATCATGAATATGTCATCTTGAATAAAATAATATAAATAAATATAAATAAATAATATAAAAAAATATAAATAAAAATTTTTTATAAAGGAATGGGTACGTCTATACTCCAAATGAATTATAAAATTGATAAAAAACAAGAATAAACATTAAAGAAAAATAATAAAATCTAATAAATGAACATAATAATATGTAATATTACTAACATAATATAATATTATGAATAATATATATTAATACAATTGAAATAATAACAATATATAATACATAAGAATAATAACTAATATATATTTAAAATAATGATTTGTTTTTATGACATTCCGGTTAAAGCAAAGCTAGATAAGCGAAAATCTAATGAGTAAAAAAAAAAAAAGTAAAAATTTCGTAGCTTTTAACATTAAAAATTTTTATCAAAAACAACTATCACTATATTTCTCATTATTCCAAAGTAAAAAAAAAATTTGAAAAAATGCTCGTTCCCAACATCTCTCAATTACCCAATCCCCAAGATCCTCCATTCTCCCACCCAAAAAACAATCTTCATCCCCTATCTCCCATTTATCCCTAACAACCTCTATATCGATTCGAAACTGCCGATAGCTCGTAAATTGGCTCGTTCCCGCTCTCGTTCTCGCATTGTTACAATTTCGAATTTATTCGAGGTGAACGTCACGTGTGTGCATCGTTCGGTTCCCTGCAACACGTCGCGTGCGTTAACTGAAATCGTAACATAAATTCCGCGCTTTTCGACCGTCTCCGCATCTCTTCGGCCAGTTCCCCCTCCTTTTCACTCTATTCTTCTCATTCATTCGCTCACTTTTAGTCCTTTCTTCATCCTTGTCGTTCGAACGAGAACCGCTTCGTGTCCAACTTTAATGCCTCTGTAAGTTATGTCGGGAAGAGGGAACGTGACTTTATTTCGCGACGGCTGTGTATGTACGCGCGCTTTAACGAGTTGTGTTGGCCGCGAGGCGAGGCAAGCGGTTTTTTCTCGAGGGAGCGCGGCTATCTTTCGGAATTCGCGCGATGCGAATGGATCGGAACCAGATACTGACCGAACCGATTGGTTTGTCATTGCAGAAGCTGAACATGGCTACGCTTCGACGATGCCGATGCCCGATGATATGCGGACGGTCACAAAAAGGCCAAAGACGAAAAAATCCCAGGGCAGCAGGTTGGTATCTTGACGAAACACGTCGATAAAATAGATTTTATACGTGTTTTTTCGAATACTGTCTGTCGAGTTTGATGTATCATTTGTTTTTATTTTTTTTTACTTTTTTTTTATTTGTGGTTTTCGTTATTTTTCTTTGTTTTCTTTTAATTGTTTTTGGGAGGATTTGATTTTATTTTATTTTGAGTAGGATAATAGGTTCGGTATTGGAGTTTTATTGAGTTTTTGAAACAATGATATTTTGGAATTATTGAAATTTCAAATTTTGGAAGATTGAAAGTTGAAAAATTTGAAAAAGGGAAAATTCTAAAAAAAAATTAAAAAATTAAAAAATTTTAGAAATTTAAAAATTTTATAGCCCAAAAGTTAAGAAATTTAAAATTTTGGAAGATGGAAGGTTTGGAAGATCTCGAAATATTGATTAAATATTGATAAATTCAAAAACTTAAAGATTCAAACTTCAAAAATTTTCAAATTTTGACAACTTGGATAAAAAATTTAAAAAATCGAAAATTTGAAAATTCGAAAAATCAGAAAATTTGAAAAATAACAAATTTAAAAATTAAATATTTTTCCAATATAAAGATAAAACTATACTCTTTTTAAAGGAAATTTTATTTGATTTTTTTTTTGTATTTTTGTTGACAATTTATTGAATTTTTGATTAACAGTTATTACTCAATTTATTGAATTTTTGATTAACAGTTATTACTTATTTATAGATTTAAAGAATGATGGAATCATTTATTTCGAAAAATTTAAAATTAATATAATAATAAAATTCAAAATTAATATACAATTTAATATACAATATTTAATCTTATATCTTTTATAAAATATATATTTAACATTTTAATTATTTTTTGCGAATATAAATCCAGTTATTGTACAAGCTTAAAACAAAATCTGAACAAAGCACAGCTGAAAGTATATCTTATCAGTATGTTGAAGGTATTGTCGATAAATTTATTCTGAATTATGTTGATACGAAACACACTTCAAAAGCAGTTTCATCGTATATTGTGTCTTAAATAACTGCGCGGGAAGGTCATTGAACTCATTTCAAGAGTATTCATCAATCGAAAACAGAATTGAAACCGACCATAAAATCTCTGTTGAGTAGGAATTCAATACTTGAAAATTTTAGTTGTCAGATCATTATTCCTTTATTTCATTATAAATTTTACATAATAAAAATATTCAAATTTATAATATTTTAATTCTTTAATATTTATTTTAATTTCTATTTTATTATTTTTATTTTTATATTTATTATTTTTATATTTATTATTTTATACAATATATTTTTATAATATCGATTATTTTAATTTTTTTTTATTATATTCATTTCATTTTTTTAATTCTTTATAAATGTGAATTTTTTTATGAATTAAATTAAGAGTCATAGATATATATATTTTAAAAATTTTTCAAAATATAGAATAATAAGAAAATTAAATTAAAAAAAAAAAAGATTCAATTTTTGCACCGAAATATTAAAACAATTTGTTGTATATAGAGATTTCAATTTTTAAGTTTTCAAACTCGAATTTATTAATTTTTTGAAGCTTAAATTGTTCTTAAGAAAATTTCGCATTTTGAAAATTTCGTTAGAAAAATTATTGTAATTTATTTATTTTATTATTATTATGTTTTATTCTATTTCTATTTTTATATATATTTTTATATGATTCACATAAACGTTTTAGACTTAAGAACATTTTAGACTTAAGAACATTCGATAATCAATGAAAATGTTAGAACTATTTAATATATTTAAATTACAAATTTATATCTATCATAACTTTGAAGAAAGAAACTTATCACGCTTTATATATTTCGTCTTGTGTATTGTATGATCTTTTACTCATAATTGACTTATTTGTAAATATCAGGAAAAGAATTATTTTATAAAATTACAATGAAAAGATGAAAAAATATTAATTTAAAAATTTTCTATTTCTTCGAACTATTCTCCTGTGTATAATTTTAATATAATTTTAATTACTAATTCACACTAAGTAAAAAACAAGCCAATAATATTACAATTATTATTTATATTTGAAAATGCAGTCTTTTTTTTATTTTTTTTTTCTTATCTTATTTACACTTTCAATGGGATTAATAATAAATAATTGGATAACCGGGTTATTTTTGATCCATGCTAAATTCACATACTCAAACATAAAATAAAATGTAGGAAATATTATTATTATAAAATAAATTATATTTGGAGAACATGTATTTATGATTTATTACAATTAAAATTTGTAAATTATATATTTGACCATTATCAATACTAAGCATCATCAACAGATTATTTATTTAAATTATTTTCTTATTCATTTATTTAAATTACTTTCTTATAAATTCCGACATCTCATTTGCTTTGCAAAGAACGTTTAGAAGTTTCTTGCTTCCCGCCTGTTTTAATTTTCTTAGCCACTTAAACACATCGTTTTCCCTTCCATTTCTTTCTTAATAACGCCAAAGCAAACGATTTCACTGCTTTGAAGTCTAACAAGAACATTTTTTCTTTTGCAGGACAACTCATAACGAGCTGGAGAAAAATAGGTGAGTACTTCATTTATCTCATTAACTTAATCCTATTTCGGCCTCTTGTTTTGTTTTGCTCGCATAATTAGAGAGCATAGCGCACGAATACTGGACAAAGTCGCCATCATTCACTGAAAGCAAACGAGAATTAGATATTTTATTCTTCTTAACAACATCTCTTTATTTTAATTCGATTAATTTATACAAGAAGATTTTTAATTTTGAAAGTTTTATTGATGCTAATTAATTGATTTGTTTATTTTTGAAATAATATAATGAAAAAAAATCACTTTTTTTTTGGAAAGTTTAAAAAATTTGTCTAAAAAATTTCATCAGCGATTTTACGTTTTTTTTAATTTCATGTTAATAGATTTTATTGTTAAATAGTTATGTTTTTGTTGAATTGAATTGAAATAATTTTTTTTATTAATTTCTATTTTTTAATATTATTATTGTTTATTGAAGCAATAGAATGTAAAAATATAAAGAATAAATAGTCATTACAATACGAATAATTAAAATATATAGTTTATAAAATGTTATATGCTTTTTAAATTTAAATTTTGAAAAATAAATATTAAACCTCATTGAATTTTAAAATTCTGAAACTATAAATATCACAAACTAATGGAAAAAAAAATATCAATCAAAATTATCACATCGACTGTCGAAAAACAATAGAAATTCAAAACTAACGTCATTTTAGATAAAAATATAAAAATACATTGATCATCAAATAGTTAGCATCGTTAACAACACTGAAATAACTAGAAAATGAAAAGCATTCAATATAATTGTAGATAGATTTCTTTGGAAAAGATAATATTAGTTATATAAATATTTAATTAACTATTAAATATTATATATATAAAATAATAAATATTAAACGTATTATATTTAAATATTAATTATAATGAATATATTATTTTCATCAAATAATTCAATATGTTTCTTAATTTTTTTTTAATTAGCAATATCTTTTAAAATTAGTTAGATTTTAGTATCATAACTATTGGCATAAAAAATTTTATTTTAATTTTAATTTTATTTTTAAATTTTAATTTTATTCATAAATATATTATATAAATAATATATATTATATATATTATAACTTTTTAATAATTATTATAATTTATTATTTATCTTAAAAAGAAAAAAAATTATTTTAAATATAAATTGTATACTTCAAGTATTTGTAAAATATAATTTAATATATTGTATAATATATTGGAAAATTTAATCGCGTAAATAGATAATTATATTTTATAAAATGTAACATTGTATTGAAGAAGACAAATATTTAAATAATGTCAGAAATAATTACGATCGACAATAGCCAATTCCATGTTTCTTGAAAATTTGCAATATTAATTTGAATTTTGAAAAAAACAGTTCTTCCAACAAAGCATAAAATATAATTCAATATTTTAAATATAATATTGATTTTTGATTGCTGCATCATTCATAAATTGCATTTCTCAAAATTATTTATAAATATTAATGCATGTTAAATATATAAATAAAATTTTAATATATTTTTTTACCAGAAATATTCTTACGACACATTGATGTCTCATGATTAGACTGCAAAAATGTGTATACAAATTCATATTTTCGCACAATTAATGGAATCTAAATAAAGATTTATCCTCTAAATATCATAACGATTATTTTATTTTAAATATTTTACATATTATATTATACGTGTTCTTCAGATTTTTATATATTCAAATTTCTCGTAAATATATAAAAAACTGCAGTCTAATAATTGCGCATTCGATCGAAAAACATTGTAAAAATAACCAATATTCAATCCTTTCGTATTAATTATTCCCGCCAACTTTCTGTATTAACAATTTAAATTAACAAATTAAATCGCTTTTAACCTCGCAATTCATCTCAATAAAAAGAAAAGAAAAAAATTTATATGTTTGATGGTGACGAGAAGAGGATGAATAGTTCCATCACGGGACAAATGATTGTTCTCAGTCGCGTGTTAAATTGAAAGCAATTTACGATTATCTGTGGCCGTTGTTCGCGACGGTATAAAGGGCCTGGTCTGTTAATTAACATGCGTGATACGTGCGATTAGACGCGACCCTTTTATATATACCGGGTCAGGAAAGTTCGAAATGGAGTGGAACAATGGCCGACCAGACCTAACTTGGGTTGGAACAGGTTTCTAAGGGTTGCCGCTTGCCCTAACCCCGATTGTCGACGTGATTTATAAGTCGTGGAGCCACGCTCTCTTGCGACTGTTCTTATTGCTACGGGAGTGTATGAAAGCGAAATATAGTTCACTAGATCGTCAACCGCGAGAGAACTTATGATTTGTTACTCTTTCGTGGCGAGAGGATGATCGATAAGAGTGTCGCGTGTCCGAGGAACAGATTTCGTTCAAGTGGAATTTTCGAGTTTGTGTTTTGAGGAATCTTGATACTTTAGTGTAATTGTATTTCGCATTTTTGTCTTGTAAATTCTAAATTCGGTGAACATAAATAGAAAGAAATTTATATATAGAATGTTTCACTGAAATGTTTATTATTTTTTTATTATTATTATTATTCGTAGTTAGAAATATTTGAATGAAAGTTTCGAGGGATTTTTTTATTTTTTTTACGAGTCAAGAACTTATGAAAGTTAATTTTAATTTTTTAAATGGAATTTTGTGTTTTTTATATGTTTTATGAAGTTTTGTAATAAATTAATTTCTCGCCCGAATTTAAATCGAAAATCAATGTAAATTAAATAGTTGTACGTTGTAAATTTTATGATTTCATGATTTTTAATTTTATTTCTACTTTTCGAATTTTTATTTTGAATCTAATTTAATAAGTAAAAAAATTACAAGATACATTGTACTTTAATGAATAATTTTCACGTGAAATTTATTTTTGTTTTTTGAATTTTTATATTTAAATTTTATACATTCTCATTTCAACAAATAAGAAAAAAATCATACGACTAAATTTTGCTTTAAATTTTTCATAAAATTAAAATAGTTAAAATAGTAAAGATATAATTTAAAAATATTTGTAATAAGAGTAAATGTATTTATTTGATGTAATATCATGTATTTTTTATACATTATGATATATTTTACAAAATATTTTTCTGAAAATTAAAAATATCATTTGAAAGAAACGTTTGCTAAACAGAAATCTATTTGATCATTGAAGTTCAACCACTTTAGTCTTTAATCCAAAACCAAGACATTGTTCTGCAACTTTCCTTGAATTAGAAGTACAGACCACGAAACATAGTTCTTAGCCAAAAGCAAATGGAAGCAAACATCGTGCAAACATTCCGATTGCTCTTCATCAAGCAAGAATGATCACAAACGAAAGGTTAGCTTTGATTCTGCAACAGTATTCTCTATCTCAATTTTCTTGTGCTTTCAAACTATTGGAATGACGATTAAATAATAAAGATTCGTGATAATCGTGATAAGATTAAATAGCAAAGTTTCAAATAGAAAAAAAAAAAAAAATTTAATTTATTTGACGAATAATGGAGAATATTGAAAAATTATTAATATATTATATTTTTTTTTAAAATTATATATTTCATAATATTTCATATCTCTATATTTTCTTAATATTTTGTATTTTACTTATTAGTATTAATATATTAAAAATTAATGTTGCAATGCAATATTTTTTTAAATTATTATTTTTTGTTTTTGTAATTTTTAATATATTAATCATGAAAATGAATTCGAAAAATTCTTCTAATATTTTTTTATTATTTCACTATTTTTTTTTCCAAATTGATCTTATAATTTTATGAAATTTAAGTATAAAATGATGTATATATTTGTTTAAATTATAGAAATTTTTTTCGTGAAAATATTTTTTTTTTAATCAATATCGATATATATTTTTTAATAATTTTGTAATAAAAAAATAATTTGGAGTATGAATATTTAGCTATCATAATTTATCACTTTCACAATCTTGACCATGATCATCTATATAAATATTATATTAAAAAACTTAAGAGAACTTTTTTGCAGTGTATAAATAATGGTAATTATAATAAATAATTGGTACATTTAAAGTTTTAATCCATTTCGTACCGTGACAAAATTATATTCAAGAAAGAATGCAAAACTTCAGAGATTATACTCACCCCTTTCGAATGAAAAGAAAATTATTCTTCATATACTTATGCTCTATATATACTCACAAAGTTTCATTAAAATCAGAGTTTTCAGGTTCTCTTCTTTATTAGATTTCTTTATTAATCCTTTCAAAATTAATGAAACAATGCATCCAAAGTGACTTTTATAAAGATTATAGAGATGTTAATTTTTCTTGACATTATTAAGAAGAAATAAAATTCATTTTGGAAATTAAATTTGTTCTTTCTTTTATATTATATTTTGTATTATTATAATATTGTATTTATTACAGAAAAGAAAAATTCATTTCGAAAAGAAAAAAATTAATAAAGAAATCGTAGAAAATGACCCTCTTTTGAACTCTTTTTGTTGTACATCTTTTGTTGTTCATTTTAGAAGAAGTTTATATGAAAATGAACTGTTTTTCTGAAAGCATGTACATATTTCTTTGGCAGACAAAGGATTAAAAAAATTCAAATGATCAAGAAGAAAGGACAATTTTACATACAAAGAAAGTTTCATTAAAGTCAGAAGTTCATAGTTTGGGCAATTTCCTTACTTTATTAAAATGGTAAATAATGTCTCTCTTAAAAATGTTCTGAAATATTCTGTACATATACAAATATCTTTTGTGCATCTTACATCTTTCACATTCAAGTAATAACTAACATTCTGAAGATACATATTTACGTTTTTTATTCTGTCAAAAAATTTGAAATGATTGATTCGATTCCATTTCTTTTTAATTTCTTTTTGATAAGATAAATAATAGTCTTTAATATTCTTTTACGTATATGTATATATATAATATAATACAATATACTAATCACATAATTAACAATTCAAACATTTCAATATATCGAAAAAAATCTAAATCTAAAACTTATGACTTACT